TCCCAAGTTGTCTAGATCGTCGATGATGCGATTCGAGGAGCACCGAAATGAGGGGAACCGGTGCTTCGTTTGCCCTAGGAGTGGTTGTTTTTTGCCATAATTCTAAATGTAATCACTCAATTTGGACCTTTGACTCATGATAGGAAAGTTTGACCTCTACAAGGTCAATGGACAGCCGAGATTTGGTATGTTGATCTTTTATAAAAATGTCTGAAAGCTGTGACATTCAGTGTTGGAGGTCAACAGACCGGGCGAATGTCAAAACTGGGGCTGAGACCAAATTCTAATGTTTGCAGGCTAATGCTTGCAGACTTGCGCTATGCAACTTGTTCTTGAGATGACAAAAGAGGGCGGAAGGTGAGGACTTTTTAAAAGCGCGTTGCACTCAGAAGAGCTTGCAGGTTGTGGTAAAGGTTGCATTGAAGTAAAACTTTCTAATATAACTTTGTACGGTCGGTGTTTGGGAAATAGAGTGCCCCACTGGAAAGTCTTCCAAATCTACCCAAATTGATGGGAGATCCACTTCTGGATGGCCTTTTCGTTTCCTCCGAGGAGGTTCAAACACGAGCAGCTCTATCAAATCGTCGAGTGTGTGACAGTGTCACCAAACTATCTTCATTTGGTCTTCGAACTTTGGTGGAAGGTGTGCGTCTCTTGGAACCCGGTGTGTGGCCGTCTTTACAAGAGAAGTTGAATGAAGCGCGAACAAACATGGAGGATCGGGCGGATGCGCTATCAAAGGCATACCGAAGCATTGAACGAGATCTCATGTTGATTGGATGTACTGGAGTTGAAGACAGACTGCAAGATGATGTTCCAGAGACCCTGAGAGCCCTCCGCGAGGCCGGCATTCAGGTAAACCTGACTTTAGAAGTCTTTCAAAACCCTTATGTACTGCCCATATTAGAAGCAGACAATTCTAGAAGCCCTGGAAGTTGAAACTTAAAAATCAAAAGTAGACGTTTGATGCAGTAGATGGATCTTGCGAATACAGGAGATAGCACGTGACAAGTCACCGTCACTTTAACATAAAAGGACAAATTCTTCTCGTGTTTTACAGATCTGGGTTCTCACTGGAGACAAAGAGGAGACTGCAGTGAATGTTAGCTTTCTTGCTGGCCATTTTGCTCCCGGTCTCTCAATCGTTCACGTAACCAAACAGAACGACCTTCTTAAATGCTCTACTACTCTGGAAACTCAACTTAGAGCAATTGAAAGCACCCAACTAGGAAATACTAAATTCCACTATGGTATTGTAGTCGACGGTCAATCGCTAAACTTTGCTCTACAGGTACTAATCAGACCGCTGTGTCATGCGCATTGAGTTTACCAAATGAGATAATGATGACATGCTTTTAGACAACGCAAAAGGCCAAATTCCTTCTCCTCTGTCATGATGCAGATGCGGTGCTCTGTTGTCGTCTAACCCCGATGCAAAAAGCCGAAGTAGTACGTCTTGTGAAGCATTCGTGTTCTCCAGGACCCATAACCTGTGCCATTGGCGATGGAGCCAACGATGTATCAATGATTCTTGAAGCTGATGTTGGAATTGGTCTTTATGGCAAGGAGGGTCGTCAGGCGGCTCGAGCAGCTGACTACGTAATAGGAAAGTTTCGATTTCTCAAACGGGCTCTCCTTTTTCATGGCTTTAACTTCTACTGGCGTACAGCAAATGTGGTGCTCTACTTCTTCTACAAAAACCTTGTCTTCGTGATGGCACAGGCGTATTTTGGAGCCTTTTCGAGATTTGCTACTCAAACTGCTTTCAGTAGCATCTATTTACTCTCATACAATGTTATAATGACTTCATTGCCAATCATTGTCTATGGGATACTGGAAATGCGATTCCCAGAGGAACTTTTGCTGAATACACCGCTTCTTTACAGAACTGTGGCTAGGAATCGCCTGCTTTCATGGAAAAATTTCTTGATTTGGAATGCGTTTGCCTTGTGGCACTCTGCCATCCTCTTTTTCGGTTGCTATTTCCTTGCAAACGAGGGTGTTTCCAAACCGGGAGGGGCAGTTGAAACCCTCCATGGTTTTGGAAGCATGCTTTTTAGCCTTATATTTCTTGTGGTTACCATAAAACTGCTCCTCATCGCTCACTCAATTAACACGCTATTGCTTTTGACCATAATTGGAACAATGCTTGTTACCTACGCAGTCTTTGTGTGTTTCAGTCGCGTCACCATTCCAGTGAGCGATGGAAGGAACCTACTAGGCATTTGGGAGAATCTCTTTTGTGGATCTAGTGCAATGATCAACTTATTTGGGCATATATTTCTATTAGCATCCGCACTAGTGCCAGACATCGTCTACAAGGTTTACATGGACAGTCGTAGTGTGCTACCGGTGTCAAGCAACGACTCGTCTCAAAGGAAGGGGACAAGAATGAAAGCTCGACATGTTAGAAGACCACTACTGACCCATTCTCCCTCCGACATGATTTAGATGCTCTGTACTTCATGATAATCGTGGAAATCTAAGGCCTTTTTTCGCACTTCTAGGTCTCCTCTTTCATTTAATAATTACCATATTACTGATTTGGAAAAAAAACTTGATCGAATTTAGAATTTTATTGGCGCTTAGGATGTGTACTGTTGACGAGGAGAGTTAACATATACATTTGGTCCGGGTTTGCGATCTCAACAGGGGCTAAGTCGGAGACCTCGGAGCAGTTGGGTAATGCATTTCGCGCCTAGAACACGCACAAATCTGCTTCTTTCGCTACAAAAAAACATAGCTTTCAATATTTTAAACCATTTTTTCAAGCTGCGAGTTCGGAAAATATATGTGCACACATACTACTCATTGTGGCTATTTAAGTAGATAGAGATTCTAATTAGGTCATGCTAAGGCGAACTTCATTTTTACCCTCCATAATTCAAATCTGACATCCGTGATTAGCTTCCTTTTCTCTTAAAGTATTTTTTCGCCAAGGTAGCGGTCTTCAAAGACTCCTTTCAAAGTGTACCCTTCGGAGACTTACGGATTTGATTTATTCTTAAAAGCGAGTTGGAACAGGGCTCCTGTAAAGAGCAAAACTTAAAGCACTCAAAGGATTTGAGCTTACCGGCATTGAACGGAGACCTAAAAAGCATTTAAAAGAAGGTCATTCACAGAAGGCTCCGGGTCAATGGTTTTATGATTTTGTCTATCTCACCTCTAAGACTCTCCCTCTACCACCTAACGTCCTCTGCAAAAACTGAGAATTATATTTCGTAAACTGTAAAACTTAGAGATTGTTTACGAAGA